AGCGCACCTAATCAAAAAAACTATTTAAATTAACTATTTCTTTAGAGTTCCGGTTTGTTTTACAATAGTTCTAGAGTTCTATATCATATAATTCAGACAACCACTTTTCTTAACATATACAGGGTATTTCACAATTTCCTCCGGGCATTTTGTGGGGACGTAGAACAGGTTGAGGTGAACATAAAAGTCCTGTACCATTTTGCGATATTCGCAATAATTATCGAGATATTAATTGTAGAAAACTTGTAAATGATCATGCAGAATATGGTAAATGAGTTATAGTAGCGACGACTGGCGTGTACTTATACTTTAGGTCAAATTGAACAAAAAAGTCCTCTACCTTTTTCCAAATAATCACATAGATTTTTAAATATTAATTAAAGAAGATTATTGCACGATTTTGCGTGATAATGCATTCATCTACGTAATATTAATATATCTGTTCTACGTCTCCACAAAATACCCGGAGGAGAGTGTGAGATACCCTGTATATCTATTAAAATTTTGTTATTATTATAATCTAATTATGCTATTATTATTATTACTTGATTTAAATCACAACGCGGATAATTTTTTTTGCTTATAATTCGTTGTAACTCGTCGTAGAAGTATGACATTTCTAAGTTTTGTATTTTTTTAGTTATAACCTCGACACTAATTTATGTATATAATAAGAAATATGCAAAAATTATGTTATATAAACACATAACACTTTATGTTTTATTGCGTCATGTTATGTTTTGCTCCGTATCCCGGAAATATCTCCGTATCCCCAGTGTAATGCAAGTCATGTTATAGTAATGTAAGTCAATAACGTTTTTATGACGACTCAATAATGAAGTTTCATAGACTGTTCTTGTTTAGTCTTTATCGAATAAATGGAGGAAGCTGATGTCGAGGTAAGTTGTCAGAGATAATTCTATTTCATCACGAAGTAAATTTCTAGTTAGCATTAAGTTTATAATATTTAATCAAGAATTTATTATTTGACTGCTAAACTTGCAGACTTTTACGCTTTTTGTATTATCGCAAATTTAAGTAAAATTCTATAATTACTAATAGCGAACCGAGGAAACTATGGAATTAAATAAAAAGTACTTGCATTACCAATTATTTTGATTGTTTTAAGAAATATCTCAACAATTAATCTGTAATATTAGTTTTATGATTTATCATTATTCGCACTTTTCACGAATACATATGACGTAGTGATATTTTTGTGAAATTGCGTTATAATAATTATTATTCGCGCAGAAAAATATTTGAATACTTACCTAGCAAACACAAAGTAACAGTAACATAACAGTAACATAGTTATAATTTCCCACTCAATAATGTAATTGTTACATAACACATGCGTTATATTGTATTAATGTTGTGGGAAATTATAACTAACACTTATGTAATTGTTAGCTGAGTGTTTGCTGAATAGTATATATATTACATAAAATGAACACTCATAATAGAGATTACATCTAACATCATTATAAAGATTAAGTGCACGTATATTAAAAAATATCAGTTCTTAATGTCATCATATCAATGCCCGTCAATTAATTTTGTTTGACGGTATTTTGTTACGATGGACGCGCGAAACTTATTTTCGGCACTCCCAGTGATATTTCGCGCGCAAAACTCGTTTGTGAGCGACAATCGGAACGGCGCTTCTTTTTGCCCCGTCATAGCACGTTCTAGAATGAAAGTGAACATAGTAACGATTGAGTTTCTCGAAATCGAAATTCTTGAAATCGAGATTCTCGTACTCGCAATATCCAGATAGCACAGGATGTCCTATGGACGTCCATTTTATGTCCATTTTACGTCCGCACATTCATGAACATGCAATGGACGCCTATAAGATATCCGATTTTGGACATCCGTTAATGTCCATAATTTGGATGTTCATAAGATATCGATTCTTGGACATAAATGTCTTAAGTATAAAATTCAACTATAGGCATATTAATAATGCGCGCTATCAACGCTACACATCATTTTATCCCCAGGCAGCAACGCCACGTCATCTTCATATACGTAATGTATTATTGGAATCAAGTAATCTAAAATTTTCAAGTGAAATCAGCAAACAGCTGTAACATTTCCCATACAGCACGTAATATTATATAATATTACAGTAATATTTCCGTAATATTGTAATATCGCAGAAATATTATTGAAATATTACTGTGATATTATATATATCACGTGCTGTGTGGGTTACTAATAGTTTCTGTTAGAAAATTGAACCGAATAAGGACACTAAAAATAATGTCCAGTGTAGGTCCTTTTTTGAATATTCCAAGGACGTCCAAAATAGGTAAAAACGGACGCCCACCGAACGTCTGTTGGGCTTTATTCGGACGTCTTATAGACATCCCAAACTGGAATGTCCACTGGACATTCATCGTGCTATTTGGATTGAGCTGCGAATTGTCATACCGCAATGCCCATTCGAAACTTTATTTGGTATTCTGAACGGTCCGTTCCGCGAGATCTCCACTTTCGGCAATGTTTCTTAACGATATTTTACTACAACATAGTATAAAACTTACTTTCCCGGTACTCTCGGCGATAATTCGTGGGTGAGACTTGTCTTCAGCAAACCACAATTGCGAGAAATCGCGGGAAGGCTTCTCGACGCCGTCTTGCTTACGCCATGATGCATTATAAAACTGAACATAGCAACGATTGAGATTCTCGAAGTGAGCTAACAAAATCATGCAATACATATATTTATAAAAAATGTTATGATCCGAAATTCACGGAATCTTGTCGGTATTCAAGTGTATCTTTACTGTATAACATCTTAAGCGTATTGTAAAAACGCGATCAAGAAGTATTCAATATAAAATAAATGTTTAAAATATTGTTTATATATATTTAAATATTAAGATATACAAGTATCCCAGAAATAATTTGTCGATCGATGTCGCAACGATGTCAAATCGACGTCGATTTCATGATTTCGATGTATATCTTAATATTTAAATATATATAAACAATATTTTAAACATTTATTTTATATTGAATACTTTTTGATCATGTTTTTACAATACGCTTAAGATGTATTAGATTATGCATAAAAAATATATCTTTAAGAACTTTTGGAAGTCTCGAAAAATTAACAAGTAATCTGTTCTTTATAATTGAACTGACTGCACTAATTTCCTTTCTCTCTTTCTTACACCAAGCCGCAGCTATATATATCTGTTTCTTGTTAAGTTACAAAATGTGCACTAGTTCAGCTACAAAGAACAGACCTAAAAGAGCCACTGATGCATCTCTAGGTTGCCAAAAGTCTAAATTACTGAACATTTTTTCTTTGATAACAAAATCTAACTGGACAAACCGGACAGTAACATCATATAAAACTAGATACATGAAATACACAATTTAATAAGAAAGTAATTACAATATCGTTTTCTGAACACTATTTTAAAACAGACTGGTTGAATAAAATAATACAAAAATTATTATTGTTTATAAAATATATTATATTATTGAAAACAAAATTAAATTTTTTATACATATGAAATTAATAATGTTTTAATACATATGAAATTTGTTGTAAACGTTTTGTTAAAATATTTAAAACATATTAAAATGAAAAATTTTAACATTTGTTAAAACATAAAATATATGAAATATAATTTGTGATATAACATTAATATTATAGTCTAAGTTTAGAAAAAGGCCATTTTATTAATTAAATTTGTATTTCTCTATATTTCTTATTGCTTTTAATAGATTTGGTTTAAATTTGGTATACTTTACAAATTCATTACATGACATTACATGTGAAAATTAATTAATAAATTATTTAACCAGTTCAACTTTCATTTTATTTCTTGATTTTGTCCATACTTGCTGCATTAAGCTGGAAACTCTTTCTGGGAAAGCATTGTTTGTATTGAAAATATGGCCTGAACTATTTTTAGTAAGTTGTTTGTAGTAAAATTACCCTTTTTGAAAATATTTATCCATGCTTCTCGCACTGCATGATCGTTAATGAACACTTGGAATGAAAAAACATCACTGAAATCCAAACTCTGTTTATAAATTTTTCTCTTTATGATATAAATTGCATTTTATTAATTGGATGTATTTAAAAACCGGACATATGACGTCCGATTTGATTAGTCAATCGGACGCCGGACAAAACTCCTGAAAAACTGACAGTCCGGGCCAAAACCGGACAGTTGGCAATCTTACTCTTAGGACTGCGTTCCTTTTGGGCGTGCACGCGCTGTAAGCGTCATTCTATCTTTATCGCTCATTAGATGCGGAAGAAAGATAGAGTGACGCTTATAAGCGCTTAAAGCGCATGAGCGCCCAAAAGGAACGCAGCCATTGTCCTCGAAGCATACTCGACAGATTAGGTTAGGCAAACTGCGCTTCTCATAATTGGAGATATCATATATGTACAATACATATACGAAGATCATAACGTAACAAGTCACAATGGAAAGTGATACTAAGTGTTTCGGAATATCTTCTATATTTACGATAAAATCATATTTACAATACCATTCAGATATGCCTTAGGGATATGCATAAAAAAGTTATACAGTTTACCTTGGCCGTACGTTTCAGAGGTTAGGAAAATACATGTCAAGAGTCGTCGTTAAACATATTAGCAATGTAATCTTAAATCAGTTATTAACGATTAGTCATCCTGCAAAATGCAGTCCGTCTAACTGGTGAGCATATACGTTTGACAGACATGTAAAACTAAAGTCATATAGTCATTTATATTGAATAGATATTATTTAAACGATTGTGTTATATAAAATTATATTGTTTTTTATATATTAAAATTGTTAGCCTTATATCATGAACAACTGTAAGAGAAAAATGGAACTGGATGAGGAATGTACAAGAAAAGAACCGTGCTATAAATTTTGTCACAATTTACCAGTGCACATCTCCAAAGGTGTAGAACGTTTCTTTTATTTGTAAGTTATTATCTAGAATCAAATAATTTAGTGTTATACTCTTGTTGCTCGTATTATACTTTGTATTATAACTTGTGATAAAGGCATAATACTTTTATTCTTTGCTATTTTCTAGGCTTGGCATAAAGATTGCTCAAAGTCCAAGAAAATGGATGGTGGGATGTTTCGTTGTGATATTGATCTGCATATTAGGTTTATTCCGCTTTAGACAAGAAAAGAATCCAATAAAACTTTGGAATTCTTCAAATGATAAGTTTGTATTAGATACTGAGTGGCTAATGTCACATTATGAGGAAGCTTTAAGAATTGAGAGCTTTATTTTAACTGGTGACAATGTCTTAGAACAGCAAGCACTAATTAAGGTGATCATATAGTAAAATAGATGTTTTTGTGATCTTTATTTGTGATTCTTATTTCTTATACATGATATTAATATAAATATTATTGATATTAATATTATTGATGTTATAAAGTAAATTTTTGTATTTACTACATTTTGTTATAGTTAAATGAGTTAACTAAAGAAATGATCTCTACTCAAACAGCAATGGACAAAATTTCTTGGACTGATATTTGTATGAAGTAAGTAAAAAATATAAAATTCTTGTTAAAATCAGTATGTTTATTATAATAAAATATTTAATACTTAATTTACATTTTGTAGAAACTTTTTTATTGTGTTTAATCATAAATAAAATCTTAATGTATTTACCAGGTAGTCTAATCAGTTAAGGTAATATATTATTATAAAAATGTGTTTATTTACAGAGTTCCTGCCATTTCGGGCTATATAAATAGAAAAAAACGACAAAGCTCTCTTTTTGAAGACAATTTCTTCAATGATGATCTCTTCTCAAAAATAAATGATTCAACTTTTGAACCAGCTGTTCATGCTAATACTGAATTATACTGTAACATATTTAACAGTTTGCCTAAGGCTTGCCTTATATTTAGTATCTTAGATATATGGAATTTCGATAGTGCTAAAATTAAGAACAATACAATGAATGAAATCATTGAAAAGATAAACACAGTGAAAGTTAGTCCCACACTGGGTCATCCTTTAAACTTCAGTGAATTTCTGGGAGGCATAACTCTAGACGAGAGTGGTAGGATTGTTTCTGCAACAGCTGTAAAGACTTATATGATGGTTCATGTAAATTTCCCTAATGTGGACATGGACAAAATGGGAAACCTCGCGGGAACTGCTGATTGGGTAAGGTCAGTTAGTGCTAAGGCCTGAATCATATTTTTGTCAAAAATATAATAAACATCTTTGAATATTATATAAAATTTCAATCACTTTGTTATAAATCCAGATGTATCTTACTTTTGGTATCTTTGGAAAACATTAGAAAGAAAATAAAAGAAACATGCAAAATTATTAAACATATAAATTTGTTATGCTATATATGTATGATTAAGGCCTTATATATTATTAATTTTTTTATGATAATCTGTTTTTCGATAGAATTTTTACTCATTAATATTAGATAATATTAGATAATTTTTGTGTCCCATTAATTACTGTATTTAAAGCTCCTGATCCCTCGCATTGTCTATCTCTTTTTAATGACGTCAGAGGCGAGAAAATGCATGCTAAAAATTCTTGCGACATACGTTGAAATAAAAATATATATCCATAAAGTACATAACACTTGTAATCAATTAAATAAATCTGTGAAATATTCTGTGCATTCCTCTTTTACTTTAATAATCAATAATTAACCTGAATAGAAATAGGTAAAGAAATAGGTTAAGAAGATGAATTGTATGTCACGTTAATTTAAAACAAATTATTAATTGTTAAAGCAAAAGAGGAGTGCATGGAATATCCTACAAATTTGTTTAATCGATTACAAGTGTTATTTTATGGATATATATTTTTATTTCAACGTATATTGCAAGAATTTTTAACATGCATTTTCTCGTCTCAGACGTCATTAAAAAGAGATAGACAATGCGAGGGATCAGGAACCTTAACTGATATTTTAAAGAAAAAATTTTCTATTAAATAATATTTACAAATAACTGAATAATATAAAACTGTACAGGTTTTTATATTCCACTAACGAAAATACTCTCAAGGAAAATGTGTACATATAACGCTAAAATTATCGATATATCTTCCCTTATCAAACTTAATTATATCTTATCATATTTTCTTTTTACTTAAGTCGTCTGTTCAAAACTCGACTTTGACCTAAATAATTTAAATAAACACATACAAATAATTGCAATAAATCAGCTTATAAAAAATCGATCGTTTACACACAGGCAACAGAGGATATACTGAAGTGGGAGTCGGCTTACCTGGAAGTTGCAAAAAATATTTCAAACGGATTGCAAAACGGAAATTCCTCATTGATGTTTTACTATGAAGCTGGCAGAAGTTTTGGGGATATTAGCGGAGTATCTATATTTCAAGATATAGATAAATTAGCTATTGGAATTGTGTTAATGTTCTTATACGTTTTGATGATTTTATCGAAAGCAAACTGGGTAGAGTGGCGGGTAAGTTTTAACATAGTTATTTCACGGGAATTTATACAGTTATTTCATACAGTTATTGAAATTTTTTTTATTTTTCCCACAGTTCTGCCTTACTGCTACTGGCCTTTTGTGCGTGGGCAGTGCGTTCATAATCGCAATCGGTGTATGTTCTCTGATCGGGATCCCTTATGGTCCGGTACACACGTCTTTACCGTTTTTGCTTTTGGGCCTCGGAATAGATGATATTTTTATATTTATGGCGTCATGGAAGCAGATACATGCCAACGAGTTAATTTTAAATAAGCCATTGACTGAAAGAATCGGCTTTGCATTAGGTCATGCCGGTTCTGCTATCAGCGTTACTTCATTTACTGATGTCGTAGCGTTCATTATTGGCGCTACTACAGTACGTACAACATTAATTCTGGGATAAACGAAAAATGCACGATATAAATTATTATATAATCTATGTTATCTTAGCTCATTTTATGACATCGCACGCACTAATTCGTCAATCTTTTTTTTATTATTTTTTTTTCATTAAGATCTCAAAATTTTATGTTCTGAAATATTCTTCTATAAAATGTTCTTCTATATTTGAAAAATGATAGGCAGAATTTTTTGTGCAATTTGACTTAATCTACCTGCGCATGTGCTTTTAGCAATTTTGTGTCAGATACCCTGCATATATTATTGTATCTGACTCTATTATAATATAATAGATAAGCCACAAGTTTTGCTTTTATTACATCTCTTGAATAACAATTTTATGAAATAATTCGTGTATTTTTAGCTATATTACTTTATTTGTATTTTTTTGCAAAAATAATTGCAGTCGAGGAAAGTTATCGTTATAATACTCGCAATTTTTTTCTAGATATTACCATCGCTTCAGTCGTTTTGCATCTACGCCGCGGTGGGTGTATTCGTAACGTATTTGATGCAAATTACGCTTTTTGTCAGCTGTTTTACACTGGACGCTAAGAGAATAGAGGAAAAGAGAAATGGGGCGTTACCGTGTATCGTGCATGAGAAATTCACGCCCAAATTGCTAGATCCGAGCAATACATTCTCCTGGAGATTTATAAATGTTTTATACTCGCGTGTGATATTTACTACACCTGGGAAAGTTATTATTGTATTAATTACAATCGCGGCGATGTCCGTAGGCGTCATGGGCTCTTTTCAGCTAAAACAATGGTTCAATCCAATATGGTTGTTGCCAAAAGAATCCTATTTAAATCAATATGCCGCTGTTATGTCACAAAAATTTCCCGATCAAGGATATGAAGCCTTTGTCATTATGGGGGATGATATTGACTATTCTTCTGAATTACCTAAAATAATATCTTTAACGGAAAATTTAAAGAACGCATCTTTCATCCAAACAATAGACCCATGGCCAACCGTATTCGCGAAATTTATGTCAACATATTATGATACAGGTTATTGGCTAAGTTATATTTATTTGATAAGCTTGCCTTGAAAGTTGCAAAAAAATATCATTATTGAACATATCTTAAAAATCGCATTAATTCACATCGAAAACTTATTGAAATTTATAGCAAAATCGAGTCTGTCATTTTGAAACATTTTGTTTGTAGATCAAATAACTTCATAAATTAACTTGATGTTTTATTTTTATTAGATATAAGAACCAAGAAGATCACAAACGATGACTTTTATTATTATTTATCGAAATTTCTCATCAGTCGAGCCGGTGGCAAATATCGGAGAAATTTTTTCTTCAACGAGACGTTCACGTGCGGTAAAAGCATTCACGCAATCGTCGTGGCGACTATTGACTTCAGCTTCACGAGATTTTCAGGCCCTGATGAGTGGATACCGGCGATGGACAATAGCAGAAACATAGCAAACGAAGCGCAAATTCGTGGATTTGTAACGGTGTGGTGCAAATTATTTGGACCGTGGTCTACAGACAAAGTGATTTCTCAAGAAGTAATACGGAATATTGCGCTGGCACTAATCTGCGTCATAAGTACTACGGCTATCCTCATCGCCGAGTTCCAAACCTGCTGTTGGATCTTGCTCTGTGTACTTCTCACGCTGTTAAATGTTTGTGGCTTCATGTACTTTTGGGGACTGACGATAGATATAGTATCCTGCATCGGTGAGTACATTTCACATGGTTTTACCTCGCATCATGGTTTTCTCTACGTCTTGCTATTAAACATATTTCAAGTAGCGACTATGCTCGCTCATTATAAAGACGTCAGTGATATTATTATTGGATTTATCTTTACTACTGCGGTGTAGATCTTCGCTGCTCAAGAACTTCTAAGCGTAGAGGTATATCCGAAGCAGTTGCAGAATTGCTCGCGAAACGCAAAAAAAATTTCTATGAATAAATCAGATATGATATTCACCGACATATTTATGCTATGTCGCATAAAGCTGAGAAATAAGTTTCTCCATAAATTTCATCGAATATCAATGCACTTTAAGAACAAAACAAACGCATAATACGCATGACAATCGTTTCCATTATCGCAGTTGAAGGAAGAGCGCATTGCGTCCAAACACCCGGGGGCTGTCAAAAAATTGGTGTCGACCCCGGGGCTTTTGTATTATTTGCACCGGATGAGGCGGGGCAACGGTGAAGACGGGCATACATAGATAGCAGGTCTCAAAGGATAGCAACCTTTGACTTTGAGAGACTGACAGCTGTACCATTTGGTACAGTAACATTGTTTCTCTTTGTAGTCGCCGTGCGCTTGGGATCGCGCCAGAAATGTCGCTTCTGAACGGCATCTCTGAGCGTTACCTAGGAAGAAGAGAGTGTCGTGAGCGTGGAGCGTCAGGTAGCTCAGTGGTTTAGAGCAGTTGCCCAGCAAACGAAAGACCCGGGTTCGAGTCCCGGCCTAGCAGAGCCGCGCTCTCGATATTTTTCTCTCTCTGGAACGAAAAAATACGCAGATCTCGAACGCACGGCGTCCCGCCGCCACCTAGTATGCCCTCCTCCTTCACTCTTTTTGCTCGAGTCCTCTTCGGTTGTGACAATCAGTGTGCTTGGCGCTAGCTGCTACTTCAGTAGAGAATCTTTTTCAGGTCTCGAACTGGGCATTGGTCTCAGCGTAGACTATGCCGTGCACGTAGCACACGCTTTCCTGAATGCTGAATCACGAGAGGACGACCACAACGCTCGCACAACGCGAGCGTTGATTGCGGTCAGATATATCGGCGCGGCGGTTGCGTATGGTGCCGGTTCGACGTTGCTTGCCCTCTCGATGTTGAGCATCTCATCGTCCTACGTATTTATAACCTTATTCAAGATATTCTTTTTGGTGGTTATATTTGGGCTTTGGCATGGACTGTTCTTTCTGCCGGTTATGTTTACCATCATTGGGCCGCGGAGCTTACACGTAACAAAGCTGCAGCCGATGTCCGAGAAAGTCGCCGATGACGAAAGTTGAAGAACGAAGAAACGAATATTTCTTTCAGGCATTCTCGTTCTTTATCAATAATATTTATTTTTGGTTCAATAAACATACAAAATTATTACACTATCCGTACTATTAATCACACATTTATACAAAAATAATAATAATAATAGTAATACGTCGGATAATTTAAAAGCGATAGTATTTATAGATCTTTATATAATATATATATTAAGATTAAAAAAATTATATATATATATATATATATTTATATAAGAAATAGTAAACAAGTACAAAATAATGTAGCAAGGTTGATATAGATTTATTATCAATTATCATCGACCGTCGGAAAGGAACATGACTATTATAAACGTAACGTAATCATGTTTTTGTTGGATGCGTTTAATCCTTTATGCATAATTGTAATTAATGTTTATGACGTAAAAATGAGCGGCGAGGGAGCGACCTTTGGATTGATTGGCGAGCTCCCTCCGCTGCCTCTCTCAGTCTTGCACAGTCCATAGACATTCGCTCGACCTTTCACACGCGACCCCGTCCTCTTTGTCTCTTCTTCAACTTCGTTCCTTCTACCCCTCTCGATACCGTCGGATCATGGTCGATGGAGCGACGCGCGAGAGGGGCCGGAGTACGCGTACGGGTCGAACAAGACGCAGATAGAGAGGCGGCAGGGACGTAGTAGGACACGTATTCGTACGCTCGCACACGCGTAACCGGAAACACATGCACGCACACACGCATACAAACACATGCACACACGCACACACTCTTCCTCTTTCTCACTATCGGGGCACGCGCACGTTGTCCACACTCAAGCACACGACAGTAGTTAGACTGCCGGGGCAGCAAGCCACGCACGAACGATACGGCGATTACTTATTACACATCTCCTTAGTTAAGTCGAATTTTACAAATCGGGATCGTACATTTCATAATTGATGAGGAACCATCGATACAATAATAATCATAATCATAATAATATTCACTTAGCAAAACGTGCCGATCGGTAATTGTGGCGAATGACGCGTGATGTGAGCACAGTTAGTTTGCGTTTACGAGACGGGGTGTCGGGGGCTATTCGAGGGGGGGCCTGGGAATATCGGGCCTTCGGGAGTAGGAGAAATGGCGGGGAATCCGATTGTACACGGTATTGGGGCAGACACGAGGAAGAGGCGGGGAAGGAACTCGAGGACGACGATGATCGAGGGCGGTGGAGCGAGGAAAGTCGCACGTTTGCTCACCGGGGTTTCGAGGTACACGCACTTAGGGGGTACACCGTGGGAAAGACACTCAGGGCAGACAGACACCGACATAGAGACTAGGCTACCGACTATATGTAATATCTATCTAAACGTGTAATTAGCGTACGCACCGCGTACACACACACCCGGTACGTCCGTACTCCGCTCCGCCTTTTTGCGTGTAATTCGACGGAGGGCGCGTCAGAGAAGCGCTCTCGCCAGTTTTGTTTTTCTTTTTCTCTCAATTTCTTTTTTTAATTATTCTTTTATCTCCTTCTTCCTCGACTCTTTTTTCTTTATTATCGTTTTATTATAATCAGCGATCGCGTCGTAGTCGTGTCTCTCTCTTTTCCTTTCTCTCTCTCTCTCTTTTTCTTTTATAGTAAACGCTATATAGTCTTTATTACTCAAGCTTATGCCCAAAAATCTACCAGAGGCACTTTGGGTTTATTAGTACCATTTGAAGTCGGCGTGCGCGGGGGAGGGTACCGCACGCCCCGTCCTCCTGCGCGGAACAGCGGGCGAGCGACGTGAGAGCATGTGTCTTCACGCCTCATCCTCGAGAAAGCGTTGGTTGATTAATTGGCTGTCACCCGTCGTCGTCTCGTTAGTCGTAATCGTTTCTCGCCTCTCCTTCCGTCGCGGCCTTCTAGACGCGATTATTACCCTGTCTGGCGATGCCTTCGCCACCACGTACGTTCACCGTCTCTCCCGTTTTCTGGCGACCTTCCACCCCGCCCTCCCCCAATTCCTCTTCCTCGTGAGCCTACCAACTCCGTATCTTTCTTCTCGCTTCCTTACCTTTTCACCACGGTCTTCCGATGTCTTTTTTTGAGCAATAAATACTTTCTCCACGTACACTCGTTTGCACAATGGTTTGCACACACTTTTTTTTCGACAAAAGATTAGAAGCGCATCAAACGGTCACAGTTACAAATCACTATTCACGAATTTATCAATTATGACAGGAGTCGAGGTGATGTGGTATACAAGATATCTGAAATCACAAACTGCAACTAAGGATTCAGAAAAAATATAAGTATTTTATTATACTTTTATGTCATGTCATGTAAAAACATATAATAAAGGGTTACTATATTTATGTCATGTAAATATAGTGTGACCTACAGTAATTAGTCATGACAGGAATTATTCTGTCATATTTGTTGATAAACGTAATTATCATACAAGCCTGTAAGTAGTGACTCGCTATCGTGACCGTTTAATGTGCTCATAAAAACCGGAAAAAAACGTGTGCAAACCGTTGTGCAAACGAGTGTACAACTGCACATTGAATTGACGCACAGGACACACGCACACGCGCATACACGTCGGGCATCGTCATTCGCGCTTACCAGCCAGCCGCACGCATTGACAGAACGCCGCGTTGGATAAGGGCGAGAGCTGTGAGTATTCGAAGACGTCTCATCGCCTCATTCGGCTTCGAATTCGATTAGCTTGTTATTTCCGAAAAGTACGTGAAGTCACAGAGCCGGAATCGGGCGTGCCGCAGGAGTGAATTTTAACGTCACATTTGTGGTTGCGGTGTGATTTGGCGATTTGTGCGTATAGATACGTGGGGGAACGATAGTTGTTCGTAAAAGACGCGCAAAAAATACGTGCAGTCGTCCCGATCGGGCAACTTTATTTTCCGAGGCGGCGACTTTCCGGCGATATGTCAGCACCCAGACGTAAAATTCGAAAACGACACGTGTGCTTTCTGGGTACTGTGCAATGCTTTCGGCTCTCGACCACAAACACACATAGACACACGCATGCGCACGCACACACACACACATACTTCATTCACTTTCACATGCACACCAATATGGCTACATCCACAGAGTTTATGTTACGCTTTAATTAATGATTATCAATTCAATATCAATTCAATATCAATGTATTACAATCAGACAATACTCAACAGTGATCGTTATTCATTATATATTACAATAATTAAGAGTGACAACAACATGACGACGGAGGCGTTGAAGCATTACAAGAGGGCGGGGAGGGGAGAAAGAGAGAAATAGAAAAAGATGGAAAGAGTAGTATGGAATGAATAGGAATCGCGAATAGGAGGATGAGCGGAAGTTTTCGACAGTGGACATGCTACAAACGGCATATAAAGGATGAAATAGAGGGAAATAGAAATAGCGAAGGCGCATGGGAGAAAGAGAGTAGAAGGAGTGAGAGAAGGAGAGGGGTTTCGATGATTATGGAACAGCGACGATGACATCGGTGACGGATGCACGACGATAGAGGATGAACGATTAATTGGCGAAATGGAACAATGATTCGGAGACCAAGGAGGGGAAGCACGCACACTCAACACAACCGTCACATCGAGCTGGCCTCGCGCGCGGCCATAGTCCATAGATTAATTACCTATTAACTAGTACACAGTCTGTCTCCGTTGCGCGGATGACTTCCTCCTCTTTCTTTCTTTCTTTCTCACGAGCGTCGTGTAGGTATACGTAATACACCATGTAAATGTACGCGCGTGCGTGCGGTACGGCGCGTTGCCGCGAGAACGACGAATAATTAGAGGAGCGTGAGCGAGAACGAGACGCCGATTACGTCCCGTTTTGTGTGTACACGTGTGATAAGGTATGGCAAAACTCGGCGTGGATTGCCGGCCTACTGCTCGCACGCGCGCCTCTTTCTCGGATACTAGATATACGCACACGCACACAACAGGCATGCTTGCGCCGGTATAAAGTGTATATATGTACACATATACATACGACATACC